TTTAAGTCAGGACAAGGGGCTATTCACCAAAAGAAGGGGGTAACTATATAAATTACATTTAATTGAATCTTAAGATAGAGTAAATGCCATCTATCCATTTGCAATTGGTTCAAATCTTCATATTCTGATAAATATATTTTTGAGTACTTTAAAGATTTCCAGATATGACTAAACTCTTTCTAAATGGGTCTGTAACCACTGAATCTTTGTTCAAATGTGGCTTTTCTACTGGTATCTTATTTCCAGGAAATCTGAAGATAATGTTAGCTCTGTATAGAAATACTCTTGTGATTGTTCTTCAATTAATCAGAATTGGTTTTATTCTTCTCACAGATTTATTACTATGTTCTGTAAATTTCTCTGCCATGCCAAACTACCTGCCTTTTATTGAGGACAGAACAGCAAACATGATAAAATTGGTCTCCCTCCTCATAGAGTAATATTAATAGAAGATATTGAATTAATGTATGATTAGTATTGCAAAAAAGTATTACAAAAGTGTGATAAGTTTTACAAAGGGAAAAGTACAGCATGTCTAAGACTAAAATAGGAAGTTTTTATTGCTATATTATCTATCAATTCTTATCTCATTATTTTAAAAGTAATCACGATGTTAACTCATGATATTCTAATTATCTTACTATTAAAATTGTAATTTCTCATACATAACTATTATAATCATTATCAATTAGGGCATTATAGTGACCCACATTTGGCTCATTTAAAAGAATTGCCATGTAACTATAAAAAAGTAACAATTAGAAAAGTTTAAGATAATAGTGTAAAATTAGAAAATAAAGCTATTTCAGGGCTTTGACACTAGAGCAATATAAGATATATTAAAGTTAATGTCTATTAATATAAGTAAATTAATAGATATGTGTATATTCCTATATTAGTCCTATTAATAAAATGGGACTGATTAAAAATATGCATGCATTTTTAAAAGTTAAGAGAGATGTGAAATGCATCAATAAAATTCTTAAGAGATATTATATGATGGTGTCCTTTATTTCTTTATACTGTTTAAACTACTAAAGTTTCTTGGCAACATTGTTGGAGATTAAATACTGACAAGGACATCAATATCCTCATCATTATAATTATTAACAAAAACACAGTTTTTTGACTATCCAACAACAACTCTTTCTTCTTCCTTGCCTAATGAAGTTCAATTTTGTTCAGGTCTCAGGAGTCAATATATTCATGGGAGGTTAGATCCATCCCTACCTTTAAAGGGGTGAATGTTGGCAAACATAAACTGGCTGTAATATGCCAACCAAATACCATAGTAATTCCATTCCTTTTGTCAATGGTCATCTAGGCATAGGTTTGTGACTCTACCCTAGGTACAATTTGTTAGATAAAGTCTACTGAAGAACTTAACTTAAATTTTCTATTTTTCCTTTCTCTCTCCAAGAATGGATAAAACAGGGACTCACTTCTGGTTATGTATTATATGTGGTCCTAAGGGGATAAGCTATTAATAGTTAGAGTTGTCCCAGCCATTTCAGGACTATTATTAGATATGAGGAAAATGCCCTGAAGGTGGCAGGACAGAAAAATGAAAAGGGTTTGGGTATTTGGTAATTTTGTCATGCCACAGAATTAATCATCTCTGACAAAGATTATTTCTAAATTTCTTATTATTAGTATTTACAGTGAAACAAAAATCAAATAAAACTCTATTGCTTAAGCTACTATTAATTAAAAAATAAGAAATCTACTGTATTACTGAAGATCATAACTGATACATTGCTTATATTCAGTAAGAAATTTCTATGTGCCAAATCCATTGCTTATAGCTTTACATGGATTATCTCATTTAATCTTCTTATATAAGATTATCATCACCAAATCATATATGCAAAAAACTAAAATTTAGAGAGATAAAATAAACTGTCCAAGATCACATATAAGGTAAGGAGCAGACTTTCAGATATAAATAAAGATATTTTGATTCCAAAGGCAATTCTTCTGGATCTGACCCATTTACTTACTATTTGCTCAAGTTTTGGTATATATGGCCTATTATATTTACATTAAGTCCTTTGATTTATTTTCTTAGGTGCCAAATATAAAAAATGAAATCTATTGTTGTATTTTCAGAACCAAATCTTTGGTTTAATGACATCTAAATTCTCATATATATTATTATGATCCTGGATCTTTTCATACTGAGAAAAACTAAATAAGTGTTTAAGCACCTTTTGTTGTTTAATACGTCTACTTCCTCATGCTTATAGCCATTTTTTATTGTTGATTTTTGTGCAAGTAGCAGCTGCTTAAAACTAAAAACAAATGTCTAGATTTTTGTTGATTCCTCTACTGAAATATTTCTCTTATTATTTCAATCCATTGTAAACATAGCTTCTGGAGTTACCTCTTTGAAACACATTCTATTAATCTCATTTAGTCTTTAAATGTTAAAATTTGCCCATTTTTTAAGGAATAAATTCAAGATTCCTCAGTACAGTCTGAGGGGCTCTGGAAATATAGTTTCAGCAGACTTTCTAATACCTCTCTCTTCTCTCTCTCTTTCTTTCTGTATGCATACACACACACACACACACACACACACAAAGTTTCTAATTGTTTCTTGATTGTTTACATCCGCAGTGCCTAATACATCTGGCATATAGTAGTTAATTAGTAAATCTTTACTGAATGAATTCATATATACAAAATAAACATAAAAAAGATTCATTCCGTTTCAAACCACCTTAACCTTATGCAGAGAATGCCCTTGATATACAGCCCCACCTAAGCGTCAGTAGTGTTCATGGCTGCCCTTGAGGAGCCAGTTAATGTCTAACACTTCCTCGGAACATGAACAGATACAGAAATGGGGCTATACAACAGAATTTCAGGGACAAACATAAAAAAAAAAAACTATGTTTTTTTCCTCCTTCCTGTGTGACTCATAAAACTTTACTTCTTCAAGGATGTACTGACAAGATAAAAGATACTGATTACACAAGTCTGGAGAAGTCACTATCCCCTGAGAGAGAGTAGAAATGAAAATTCCCTTCACAAAAACCAGCTTGTTTATGAGGACAGGGTTATGTCACTGTCGCTCTGTGGGAGCTCTATTCTGGTCCTCAGGGATGACTGCAGTCATGATACTGAGCACTGGACAGGTGGAAATGGAGAGAGTACTACCTATTGATTCACAGGTACTACCTGTGAATTTACTACCTATTGATTCACCTAGTGATTAAACTGAAATTCCCCAGGAAGTGTTTTGTACCAGTTTATGAAAATTGTTTATTCAAAAAGTGTAGATTGATGATCTGACCTGTTTGGGGTTATTATATCTGGTCACACAGGCTCATTAGGGGGTACGAATGACCCTTCAGTACCTTGAACTTTGGCTTCCCTGAGATAGGTATCTCATTCACTTACCTGAGCAATCCATTATCTGGAAACAAAGTACATTCTGTTCGGGCCCCTGGAATATTTAGATAAGAAATTTACTAAGGTTGTCTTATGCATTTTTGCTCCTGTTATTGTGAACTCATATATAAATATATGTAACTCTATTTCACATATATGTGTATATATATTTGTATACTTATATGTATAGTGTATTTCACTTATATGTATATTTTGTATATGTGTGTATAAATATATATTAATACATAAGCATATATATATGCAGCCCACTAAAAGGTGAACAGGTGTAAAGGTATGACCTTTACAATAACGTTGCATACTTAGGCTTAGCCAGTATCTCTACTTTTTCCTTCCGCTTCAGTGAGACCAGAGACTCCTTTGAACCTAGTACTTTGATAACCGTGTCTTAATCCTTTCAGTGATGTTGGTTATCATTTAGGCCATCAAAAATTATATTATTCTTGTCTTCAATGATTAATTCAGCTCACCCATTATCTGGAGTTACTAAGGAGATTAACCTGGTTTTACAAACCGTTACTTTTATATGAAACCTAAATATGTGTGAAATTACTACATTTTATTCACAGAATGTAGTTCTATTTATGAAATCATTCAGCAGGTAGATTTTAGTTTCAGAGGACTTTTTTTTTATTCAATGTGAAACCACTCAAAAGAGACCACAATCATGTAGAAACTCTACAGCAAAAGAAACACATTCAGTAGTAATATAGGGACAGGTTCTGTTATCAGTATTTAGATATAAGTGGTGACTGGATGTATTCGATAGCTATTGCTGTATAATAAGCTACCTCAAAAACTTATTGGCTTAAAACAACAAAAATGCATTATTGTTCATGTATTTATGTGTTGGTTAGGGAATTCTACTGATCTAAGCCTGTCTGGGCTGATTTCGACTAGGCTTTCTCATTCACCTGCAGTCAGCCTGCAGCTAGGTAGGCTGGGGCTAGCTGCTCTGGAATGGCCTCTGCCAGGACAATTTCACTTTTTCCATGAGGGTTTTTCTCAGGCCCCTCCAACAAACAGCCCAAGCCTAACTTTCCTGTTGATCAGATAGACAGATGTCCAAGAGTGAAAGCAGACACTCACAAGAGTTTGTTAAAACCTCTGCTAGTGTCAATTTTGTTACTGTCTCATTAGCCAAAGCACAAGGCCAATCTCAGTGTAAATGGGAAAACAGTTATCAAAGAGTATGAATATGGTGACAAATGAAAAATTGAATCCATTAATGCAGTGATCCTCAAACAATGGACATATGAACAGGACAGAAACCCAAATCTAGAAAATGGTGTTTGAAATCAAGGTCAGATTGATAAGAAAGTAGATTTCTTATGGAATCCCAGGGAGGGTGGCTCAAAGTACCATATACTTCCATCTAAATACTAAAATAAATTTAGGGGTCAGTCAGAACTCAATCTGCAGAGTAAGTAGAGTTCCAACACAATTGAATGGAGGAGAAAACTTTGGGACATTGGCCATAAAAAAAAAAGTATAGGGGCATTTGTTTTTACCCTTAAAAATTTTACAGTATATATTTTGTAGCAAATTCTAGTGCTCCAGCACATAAAGGCATCTTCTTTTCATAGATACACAGAAGAAAAACTCTTACTCTCCCCATTAAAGATGGAAACAATGAGTTGTAAGCAGAGGTGAGATTTTTTGTTTGTTTGTTTATCTGATTTACTAAATAATTTAACTGTCAGGGTAAGATTCTTATTATTCCCTTCACTTCTGCAGAAATCAGAAAGGACTCATACTGGCTGGTGGAACCACAAGTACCAGCACAATGGAGCTTGAGTCTTTGCAAAGAGGACAGTTGCTATGAAGAATGTTTTGTAATTATAACAGACGCTCCTTGTCTGTTAAAATAAAATAATAAAAATAAATAATAAATAAAATAATAAAAATCTTTTTTATTATTAGGCCATTGAAATTTTTGGAGCTGTTAGGGTAGCAAAAGGTAGCTTGTAGTAACTGATATAGCAATGTAATCTGACAGGTGAAATACATTAAAAGCTGATTAGTACCTGTGTTCTTATATAATGTGAAATGACTTTCTTGTCACATCATATCCGAAGATATATGTTATGTATATGACATCACTGATGATGTTAATCTTCATTGCTTAGTTAATGTAGTGTTTGCCAGATTTCACCACTGTAAAGTTAGTACTTTGCTCATTCTGTTTTTTGAAAGGGAGTCTCAATGTCAAACCCATCCTAAAGGGAAAGAGGGGTTTAGAATTAAGCACAGATTCTGCATGGGGCGAGAATCTACATATATTATTGAAAATTCATCAGTAAAAAATACGTAGTTTTTTAAAACTTCCTATTTTCAGTTTTCCAATATTTTGTTAAGGATTTGTGCATATATATTTATAAGTGATATTGCTTTGTAATTTTCTTTTCTTGAAATGCCTTTGTTTGGTTTTGGTATTATAGTTTTACTAGCCTCATAAAATAAGATGAGAAGTGTCTACTTCTATATTTTCTGAATGAATAACATTTAACATTGTTAAATTCATGGTGAAGCTACCTAGGCTGAATATTTCATTGGTTTGGATGTTTTAAATTATTAATTCATTTCCATTATTTTTAAAGGGATATTCTAATTTTATGTTTATTTTTTAATTAGTTTTTATAATTTGCCCCTTTTTTGAAATTGCTTTACTTTGGTCAAGTAGTCTAATTTTTTGGTATAAATTTTTTTCATACCATTTTCCTTATAATAATTATAGTTACTATAGAGTAGGAAGAGATGTTCTCTCTTTTTTTCCTTATTTTGTTAATGTGTGCCATCTCTTTTTGCTTCCTTGATCATTCTAGCAAGTACCAAACTTTAGCGTTATTGCTGTGGTTGTCTTTTTTTGATCATTTTTCTGTTTTCTATGTTGTTGATTTTTTTTCAGATCCTTATTATACTTTTTTCTGCTTAGTTGGGTTGTACTTTGCTCTTTTCTTCACATTTCTTAAGAGTGTTAGTTTTGTTATTGATTCAAGACTTTTCTTCTTTTCTATTGTAGTAATTTAAAGTTTTAGATTTCCCTCTTAGTTCTTCTTTGAGAGCATTTAATAAATTTTGATATGTTTCACTTCTCTTCAACTCAAAATGTTTTCTAATTCCTGTTGTGATTTCTTTTCTGACTTGTTGATTCTTTAGAAATATGTTCAAGGTTAGTACTTAAACATTTAACTGCTTCTAATCCTATCCAGTGCATGCTTTATCATACACATTGTAGTTTTATCTCTAAAATTAGATTTCGATCTTGTTACTGTCTTCCATGCCTTTACTGAAATTTTTCAACGTATTAAATACAGTTAAAATAACTATTTTCATGGTCTTGTCTGTTTTAAATTTTTAAATCCTATGTAAATTTTGAGGTAGTTTTTGATTGGTTGATATTTCTCTTCATTATGAGTCTGATTTCCCCATTTCATTGCATGGCTAGTCATTTCTTATTGGATTCCAGGCTTTGTGAATTTTACCTTTCCTAGTACTAAAATTATTTTATCCCTACAAAAAATCTTGAGCTTTATTCTGGGATGCTTATAAGTTGCTTGGAATCCTTTTTATCTTTTTGCATCCTGTTTTTAAGATTTGTTGGATAGGGTTTGAAGGTGGTACTGGGACAGGGGTATAACTAGAGCAGTGCCCAGCCTGGTCCCATTATTTTCTCTCTGCTTGCTCATGGGACTGCCCTGTGAATCATGAGATTATCTGTGATTAGCAATAAGTACTTTTTCCAACACAGAATGAGCACTGAGCACCCTTCTGGATTGGTTTTCCCAGATTCCTGTAGTTTTATCACATGATCAGTAATCAGCTAAGTCATGCAGGGCTTTGCAGAGTTACAATTTTTCTCTGTTCAGTACTCTCCTAACCCATTATACGTTCTGTAAACTCTAGCCAAATTGGTCTCTCCAGACTTTCAGCTCTGTTTCCTCCACTGAGGGAGTCTTCCAAGCTCTACCCAGTTTGCTCTTCCTGCTTCATGGCCCACAAACTCTCAAGGCAGTCAGCTGTGGCAATCATAAGGATTGCCTCATCTGTTTTACATGTTTCGGGAATCACTGATTTTCATGGCCTTAAATCCAATGTCTTGAAAATCATTATTTCATAGACAGAAAATTTCTGATTTATAATGGTTTGACTTATACTTCTTTGACTTTATGATAGTGTGAAAATTATATGCATTAATTTATATGCTATATATTTAATGCTATATATATTACATTATATCATATGCTATATATGTTACAATTACATATGCTATATATATTACATATGCTATATATATTATATATATATATATTTTTTTTTTAACTATGCCTATATCTTTCAGGCCCCTACCACAGTTTCCACCTTGTAGTTCTTTATTAATTTTATAAAGGGTAGTTTCAGGCCCTCCTGGCTTCATTCCACCTCATTCCTGAGGTGTGGTCTAATAAGATGGAAAAGGACAGACAGACAACTGATCTAGCTTCTTCCTGCTAACAAGGGACATAATTGAGATTGAGCCCGGGAAAGAAACTGTTTTGCAGCTGTCTTCAGGTATTCATGGGTGCATGGTTGCAGACTTAAAGTTTGCAGGACAAGAACATTAGTACAAAATAGAATCAACTTGATTATTTGGTTCTTTATCATCTGTCAGTTGTTTTCTTGTTGGCTTATGAAATTTTTTTATATTATATGGCTCTATTTATTTTTTTTGTGTATAAGGTCTATGTTCTATCGGTTGTTCTCGGACTATTGGTAGCATACCTATTTCAGAATATTTTTTAAAATTCTTATATAGAAACATTTTTGTATGATTAATATTAGTTATCAATATGGAATATTTTGGTTTATATGCTTCATGACAGTTGGGGTATCGTGTTTATTGTCCAACGAGAATGCTCAAGAGTAGTGTATACATTTATGGTATTTTATCACATTTCTTGATTATAAGTGATGTTTAGTTTGGTACATTGATTATATAATATAAAGAATACTTGAGGAGTGCCTTAGATTAATTTATTACAATTTATATCCTGGACTTTGAAGTATTAGACGAACATGTGTGCAACATTTGTAATGAAAATGTATTTTGAAGCTGAACATGAAATTGAATGACGATACTTTTTATTGCCTCAATTTTCAGTTATTAATTTGTTAGTTGTCATTCGACCATCGTGATAGAATAACAGTAAACATGTGCAAGAAATTATTTTTTAATAGTTAAGATGTTAACATATAGGTAGTTTTAGCTATTATGTTTTTTTGGTGTAGTTGATGAGCAAAAGAGCCATCTTGAGTCAAGTAGGTTTCTGACGCAGATTTAAATATAGAGATTAGTGATTATATCAGAGGAAGCTAAAGACTAAGTGTCTTTGTATGGGTAAATTGGTTAGGCAAAAGGAAATACAATAATATATAATGAAATATTGTTTTACTCATATGCACCCAAGGTTCTAATTGCATTTCAGATGTTATGTTAGTTGCATTAATGTTGTTTATGTGCGTCTGATATGTGTTCAACACAAACTTCACCAGCATTTGTGTCTGAAATAAGAGAATTAGAAAGTGATTGGGTGACAAGAGAAATGGGGGAAGAAGAAAAGTGTAAAAATATTAAAAAAAAAGCAAATTCTTTAGTTGAACACAACAAGTACCTTTGTTTAGGTATTCTTATTATTAAGTGAAAGGTTTTATTAAAAACCAAATAATTAACTATGAGAAAAGGTAAATAATGATGAAAAAAGGAATGGAAGTGCCAGAAGCTAAATATTCCAAATATAATGGGAACCACAGAAAGTATTTTCCAAATAAGTATCATATGAAAAGTGTGCTTAAAGAGTTGGTATGTTGGTTGGAGAAGTAGCAAATGAATCATTTAAAAGTTACTAGAGAAAATATGGAGCTACAACTAAACTATCAAAATATCTTTAAAAAATACTAAAATCTTAGACAAAGATTCATTGACTGTACAAACAGAGGTATGTATGGGGATGAGAGCCACAATGCCTCTGATTGAAATAACAAGATGCTCTCTGAGTCAATGAAAATAGTACAGGAGGAAAGATAGTAGGTGATCTATAGTTAAAAAATTGTTTCTAACATCTAATAAAAAGGAAAAGAAGTAAGACAATAAGGATAATGTTTTCCTGGGAAAGTAGAAATGTTGAAGAACCTATGTGTAATTTTAAAACCAGAACACTATTGTGATTTTAGCCTGGTAGAAGGAATAAATTTGTTAGTGAGAATAGTTATTAGTCTGAGTTTATGACTGAATAAATTACAAGAATTCATTTTGAGATGCTGAGGTTAAGTTTAGTGAATTACTTGTGGAGAATGATATAATTTACAACACTAATAAGTGTTGTATATAATTGTTCATTGTTTAGTTATTGATATCGCATGATATAAGATCCATTTCTATTGAATTTATGAATATGTTTGTAGTTGTATCTTATTATACCGTTTCACTATTACTAGGAATTTATTTATGTTTCTATTTTGTGTAGTTGTTCACAAATGGATTGCCTTTTAAATTGCAGTATAAGCACCGTATAGCCATTGTGATCTTTATATTATTGTTGGAGTGAAGTTATAATATTGATATAATAATAAACAAGATGTAAAAACCAAGAGGGATAAAATATTAATTACTCACCAGATTATTTGGATATTGAACTTTGTCTAAGCGAGCATAATGAAGTGACTAATTCGGAAATAACATTTATGGAGACGTCGGACAGGATGGAATGCGTTTTGGGAGGGTGATGAGTATTGATATAGCATACATAGATTGATATGCAGCAGTTTGGGGTGGACAAGTTCG